ACGAATGAGGCGAATCGAAGACTCAAAGCTGTTTCTTCAAAATACTATAGAAGGGAAGAGTAGAACGTTTTTAATTAGTAGCTTTATTAAAAAAAATTCATATGTCACTAGGACCCGGAATTCTAGATCGTCGAGATCTAGCCTACTTTGAGCGATCGTTGAATCTGTGAGGCTAAATTTTACCAGAAAAAAAAAGGTTCAGTTTTTGGAACTTACACCTGAATAGACATGGTTTACATTACGGAATTTAGTATTGGGTTTGGGTAACATAATTACACATTATATATATATATATATATATTTCTTATATGTTGCCGTGATAAGAATAAGCACGAATGGGTCTTGCCTTAGAGAGGTGCTCCTTTGAAGCTAAAAAGGTTATAAGGGAAAGTGTACAGCATTCTTAATCAGTAGTTTTATCAAAATTCATAAGTTACAAAGACTTCGAATCTCCGCCATCTCCGAGATCGTCAGATCTAAACCTACCTTAAGCGATCGTCGATTATAGGAGGTTTAATTTCACCAAAAAAACGATAAAATATATTTAGTATTTGAAACTTATAGCCGAAAGAAGTTGCTTTACGTGGTGGGATCTAGATTGTGTTAGAGTAATACAATTATGTAACTTTTTTTCTGGCAGGCTTTTTTAGATCTAGCAAATGGACAGTATAAAAATAAGCGATTTTTTTGTTTCTTATAGGTGGGTTATTATAATATTTTTTTTGCTCGTATATATATATATTTTTTTTTACCTAACCATAATTATTTTTTTAAAATAATAATTTATTTAACCATGACTATGAATTTGAATTTTTACTTACTATGATTTTTGTATTTAGGTACGAAAAATGAACGGTAACAAAAAAACCACCACCTCCAAGAACAAGAAAAATAAGACCCCAAACTATTTTAAATCAAAACGACAATACAAGCCAAGAGAATTTTTATATTGTAAGTAAACTTTGTGCCGTGCCAGTACATTCGTGCTGAAATATAATTATTAGAACTAAGTATTTTATTTTGCTAAAAATTGGATGATGAAACCTGGGGAAAAATGTCAAAAGAAAACTTAGAACGTGATAAGGACAATGATAATAATAACTGGATAAATCCCGAATATGTTAGATCAAATGTAAACCCACCAACACGATCGGTTAAGGGTGTGTCCCTTAAGAGACATATGGGGACGCCCACAGCAAAAGCAGGGGATGGGACTATATATTATATAGTCCCATCCCCTGCTTTTGCTGAGGGCGTTCCCATATATGTTTGTTTTTATGTATACTTTTTTTATTATATAATAAAAATATTTTTTTATTTATATGTATATTGTCGTTCTAGAGACAATTTTATTAAATAAAGAAGGGCTTCCAATTTTTTTTTCTAAAGTATTGTATGATTAATAAAAGAGTGTTTTGGCCCCCTCTATTTAACCTTTATGGCTTCTTATCTTGAGGTAAAAGATTAGCTACACAACCATTAGCATAACTTCGGCTACAAGTGACTCCTGGTAAATTTTCTTTTACACACCAATCAAAGTAGACAAAATAAGCGGTTTGGTAAGTACTTTTAGTTTGATTTAAACGGCAGGAGGTAGCATAATCTTGACAGCAATTATAATTATTAAGTATTCCGTTATAACAAGCACCACAACATCGCTCTCGACCAGTTATTGTTGTAGTACAGTACATTCTAATAATTGGGTTGAACTTCTACTAAACATATTGCCCATTGCTAAATAAATCTGTTATTAAACAACCAACAAAGTATGTACTTTATAATAATAAAGACTTAACCATTTTTACTTAAATTAAAATTTAAGTTATACGTACACAAAACATTTTTATTAAATCTTTAACACTGAATAGATAAACAAAATACAGTAATACAGTAATATTACATGAAATTAAATACTTATCTAAGCCTCCGAAGTGATTAATAGCTTCTTTTGATCGAAACGAAAAGGACAATTAAGAAAGTAATGGTTATCTTTACTCAAACAGTTCAATCACCCATATGCCTAAACGTGTATATATGAAATATCTTCTGTAGAGGGTATATAGTTAC